GTATTAATGGAACTGTCAAATCTGTCACTACCCCGGTTTAATCCTAAGTAAAGAAGAAATCGATTTTGAATAAAAAGATTGACTAAATGGGAAGACGTATGCGGGTGAATAGTAAGAGTTAAGCATTCTTCGCCATACAATACCCTATGGGGGGGAGAAGATATTGCAATAATTATATTTAGACATTTCTCTTGTCCAGTTACGCCAGCCGCTCACTATTACGAATGTGGTAACGCGGTCTGATTAATTTGGTGGGGAGGATTACTTATTATGGGCAAAGTTTAACAAGGAGAAAAACAGAAAAAGACCAGTATTACATTTGTATGTAAAGCAACGGAGCATAGAGCCAAATCAAAGTATGTCAATCAGGAGAAAACCAGAATCGATAAGGAATGACGAAAATCATGATGCATGAATTTATTGTGATTACCCCCCGATACATATAATAAGACAGGGAGCGAAAATAGTGAAGGAATTGTGGGGGTGGTTATAATATATTACAACAGATAGAAAATAAAGATTAGGAGAAAATTCAAGTATTGAGTCGTAAGAAGAAACTAGGAATAACAGATATGTGTGAGTATAACCGACTTCTCCATTTTGCATATCATGAAATATAATAAACTAAGGAAGAAACATACAGCATGCTTCATTTCCAGAGGTTCCGCCAAATTACCTTGTGAGTCTGAACTGAGAATACATCAATTTCGAGAAGCATAACAGCCCTCTTCCCTGAAGAAATACACATAATGTACATGCCTCTATACATTGATACCATCTAATGATAACAGCCTATGTGTCGTTGACCTCTGTACACCTGAACATGGAACATATACCCATGGATATACATACATATATGTATATTCTTTCCCTTCTATCTGTGGGATTAATTCATGAGTCATAAAAATAAGAAATGTTAACCTGGTGAGTTATGATGCCCCTCTGGCGTCATACAGGAAAGGACTACCCAAAAACACAACCAGAACGGAAAAGAATGGTATGGATGGTTAAACATCTTTATGCACAGGGAAAACGTAGTTACCAGTATATGCTGATTCAAATTAGAAGATTGTTCATTTCGCATAAAGATGTTCCCCCTAAAATTACACGATTGTTCATGACGTGTCTCATCTATGCATATATAAAGGGAGTAATGGATTGTAGAATTCGAAGTAGTATAATATGAGTTCTAATTTTATATTGAACTTTACTTGTTTGTTGCATACAATTGAAAGGGCTGCTATAGCGTCTAAATAGGTTCATGCCTTTTTGTTGAAACTCCTATGAGTGCAATGGAATAGAGATATTCAGTTCCAATGTGTACAGCGTGAAATGGTGCTCCGTTTTGTTTAGATGGCTTTTTTTATAGTTACCTTACTCCTGTGAATGCGTTCTCATGCTCCATTGTTTTTGTGAGTGTGCTCCTGGATGTTTCGATATTTTCACTAGTATCCCCCGGCAGGTTGCATTCTTCTTGTGTATGTTTTTCCAGGTTTCTGCATTTTTATGAGAGTAATTTTTCATGGCGCTCCTTTCCTATATATTCGTGTTCATGTGGCCTAATTTGGCGAGCGTGGTTTTACATGGGATAATTTGGCAAACTTTGTTTCACGTACGGTAATTTCGCAAACGTCGCTTCTTGTGCCTTAACTTCAAGAACGTTCTTTTATGTGGCCTCATTCTCCCAATGTCGTTTTATGTGGGATAATTTCGCGAAAGTCGTCTTAGGTTGGGTAATTTCGCGAACGTCCTTTTACGTGGGGTAATTTCGCGACCGTCGCTTAATCTGGCCTAATTTTCGCGGACGCTCCTTCAGGTGTCGTAATTGTGCAAATGTAGCTTCACGTTTGGTAATTTGGGAAACGTCATTTAATTTGGTCTAATTTTTCAGGACGCACGTCCTTGTTGCCTGATCTTCCCGGAAGTGGCTTCTTGTGGCTACACTTTGCCAAAGTCCTCTCATGTGGATGAATTTTCGGAGGGGTGGTTTCATGTATTATATATCCGATGCACGCGCGCTCTTTCTTTCCGCTTCATTATATATATTCCTCTATTTAATTTTCTCAGGACGATACACTTTTATGTGGCATTCCTTTGACGGAATTTTCCTGAAGGGTCTGTCTATGATGACATTTTTTGGAGCCTCTTGATGAAGATACCAGTTCCCCTGGCATTTCTATGAAGATGCGTCTATCTGTTGCATTTTTATCACGATTTTTTCTGTGTCGTCTCCTCATGATGATGCTTTTTTCTCCTGCATCTTTATGATGCTCCCCCTCCCTGTCAATGCGCCGTCCTTGTGCCATGTCACTGTTATGTGTACCGTTCTGCCGCGGCACTGATTCCTTCTCTTTTGGTGGCATTTTCTTAAGGATGCTTGTATCTGGAAGGTTATTATAACAATGCTTCCTTGTGTTACATTTTCGCATATCTATATCCTTCCTGTTGTGTTAATATGAAGATGTTTCTGCGTGTTACCCCTTTTCCATGATGATATTTCCTGTTCCATTTTTATGGAGTTTTCTTTTTTTATGGTACGTCATTGTGAAGTGTATTCTCCTTGTGCGGCATCTTTCTTCGCAAGATCCATTTCACCACGTGTACTTTTAATATACTCTTTCGCTCGTCATTCTTATAGAAATGGTTCCTTCTGCCGTGCCATTATGAAGATTCCTGTTTCTGTTTCATTTATTTTCTCACGATATTTCTCTTTTCGGGGGCCGTGATGAGGTCGCCTGTGCCACGTCATTATGAGAATTTCTGTTGGTGTTGCATTTTTCTTACGAAGATTCTTTTTATCGCGTTATGTGGATGATATTTTTGTCTTTGACTCCTTTATAAAGATGGTTTTTGCTCTTACCATTTTACCGGGAAGATATTCTTCTGCGAGTCCCTTCTTTTTATGGAGATGTCTCTTTTTCGGGGCATTCCTATGATGCTTCTTTCCGGTACTTGCCTGAATATATCCTTCTTTTCTATTCGTTTTATATGGATGCTCTTTCCTCTCGTGGCATCGTGAAGATGTCCTTCTGTGTGTGTCATTTTTTCTACAATGATGTACCTTTCTCCGCGGAGTTATGAAGATGTTTTCGTATGTTTGATCTCCTCTATGAAGATGCCCCTGTTGGGTGGCATCGTTAAGATGCTGTTTTGTCTTTTATTGTTTTTATGAAGATGTTTTCTTTTCTCTTGGTATGTTCAGGATGTTTTCTTGTTGTGTTCTCTTGAAGATGTTCCTTTGCCTTTATTATTGTGAAAATATTTCTACAGGTCGCATCATCGTGAGGATGCCCTTCTGGCTGTATGATTCTCAAAATGCCCCTCTGGCCTCATCCTTGTGGATATGCTGTATTGTATTTCATTCTCTCTTATTAGAATTCTTCCTTCCTTCATATTCTGATGGACGTATTTCTTTTGTGGCTTATGTGGAGCCATTATAAGGATATTACTTCTGTTTGGCTATTATCAGTATGGCAACCTATGTGATGTGTAAATAGCAGAACCATATGGATATACTAGCACCATCAAGCAGAAATAATATACACATGTGTGAAAGGGCACCTTTATCCTTGCTGTACTATTGCTTTAGAAGTCACGATGGTCCTGGAGTACTACTAAGTGAATAGCAGTGTCACAGGAATAAGACTGTTAATTGAAGTGCAGAGTCGCGTCAAGGGTAAGGATTTCCTGGAGGGCTATTGTACCAATACTACTGACGTGTCCGTAATAGTCATGTGCACAAAATACTGACATGCTTATCGTTTCGTTACTTGAAAAGCAGAAGCCTGCCAGGGGTACTCTTGTTTGCAGAATAGTCATGTCCATTTCTAAGGGGGGTGCAACCTGGGAATGTAAGTATAATACTGTTATAGGAAGGGTATTGATGTCCATGTAGTAGTTTATGCGAAGGCTTCAGAGTTCACGCCTCCATTATATGAAGAAGATTATTCTATGAAATACCTGGATATTCCACGATAAATAATCCGTGAGAATTATTTATGTGTCCAGATGTTTCATGGCCAGGAGTGCAGATGTTCCGATAGGACTGTTATATGAAGGTACTAATGTTTTAGCTATATGGAGGAGTTGGAGTGCTATTATACTAACACCAACATTACGTGCGAAGTTCTGTGGGCGCCTGAGTATGATTATCCTGACAGCACTATTATTTGAGCAGTACCAATGTAGAAGGAGTGTTTTTATATTAGAGGTACATTCTTGAAAATAATACTTTTATTTTAGGATAAATAATATTATGTATGGAATGATGTACCATAATGAGTACGCATATCCCTGGAGTACCGATATCTCAGGTGTTCCGATATAAGGTTAACAAATGCATTATATGGAGTACGTGATTGTGCAAATCGTCTGGGATATGTGGAATATTATTCTTTGAAGAATATTGGTGCACTCGGAGTACTATAATGTAAAGAGTACCTTTGTGTGTGCAATATTGACATTCTAGGAGTGGTATTATTAGTCGGGCACTATTCTGTGAAGTGCATGGAGATTCCAGGAAAAATATTGCCTGAAAAGTACTGATGTGTATTCATTTCCAACGGTGAAGATTGTGGAAATTCCCGTAGTACTGTTATATGAATGTACTAATGGATGAACTATAGTCATATTTGCAGAGTCTTATTCTCTGAATACCACAGTAGCATAAGAGTAATGCATCCTGTGGAGCTATATTCTGTGAGTCATTTCACGTGTGGGTAGTATTCTTATTTGCAAAGAGCAACTGTGCGAAGATTATGCATGTCTCCGAAGCACGATTATTTGAAGGGTTTCGATATACGCAGAGTGCTCCTATATAGGGGGCACTATTTTATTAAGCGTAATAATATATCCGCACTAGTATGTAGTGAGCTAAAGGTTTATGTCCCTAATATTACTATAGGGTTGATGAAGTATTGGACGTTTCGTTATTTGAATAAAACCATTGTTCATACTGCACTGATGTCTTCTCATTTGCGGTACCTTATTTTTGAAGCGGTTAAAATCCCAACTGCAATATGAGGACATAACAGTTTTACAAATTCCTGTGATGTATCTGCAATAGCATTATTTGAGGAAAAGCGGTATCCTAAATGTAGTAATATATGCCAAGTAGTGTCCTCGCTGGAATATCATCCTTGTTGATTACATTAATGTTACGGGAACAGATTTAAGCAGAAGATACGAATATCCATAACATACAAACCATTTATCATATTAGGGAAAGGGAGAAGAGAAAAATGAAGTAGAAGAAATGGCCAAAATGAAGTTTATGCATTGAAGGTACTGCGATATTAAGCAAAATTCTCCATTTCAAAGGAAGAATAAATATATAGGGTAAACCCATATAACTGACTTAGGAGAATCAACAGACATAAACATGAAGCTGAAAGGAAGCATGCAAAGGAAAATTATCACGCTATAAACAAAAAGGACAAAGGTAACTAACAAATAAGAGTACCTAAAACAATGTTGACACAAAGGAAATGATCCCACAAAAAAACAAGGTGAACACGACAGAGAACACTTACAGTAATATATGAGGTAAAATGTTCACAGGGCCGAATACCACATCAAATAAGAGAGGAGTTTATTGCGAACTTTCATGTCTCAGAATACACGCGATTATTCGCAATTAGCGAGTAAGATATATAAGTACGAAATTTCTTACCTATATTAATTGGTGTACTAAATTTTCTCCTGATTGTATTGGGCGTTATGGCTTGGATTAAAAACTCTACAATATTATTTGTTGTCCTAGGATGTAATATTTTATGATACCATTTGTGATGTTATACATGAAAATATATAACTGTTTAAAATAGATTTATTTCTTCTTTGAAGTTTCAGAGGATTCCTTAAGAGCTATTTTGTTTTGGTAAAGATATAACATACTTTCTGATGTAGAATCTGGAAGAGTTACCACATTCGGTGTCTCTACGGTTAGTGTAAAGGTGTCCCTTCTTGCTGTATCTAGAATCGTAATCCTAAGATATCTATGTTGACTGCATGGGTCACTACCTATCAAAGGTCTGACATGAATGTTGTTTTGTTACCTGTATATTCTGTATTGCCCTGATTTCGAATATAAGGATTCCAATTCTTTGGATCGCACTACTCACAAGACTTTTATTTTACTTCTTTCTATTCCATTGCAAAGTATGAGCAAAGTGGCTATGAGAATAACCTCTTAATTTTGACAAGTCCTCCCCCCTTTTATATATAGCAGTATTTTGGCAATGGGGAGACTCATTGAGAATGAATGAAAACAATAAACCGCCCTTTTACTCATGTGATGTGTGGATAAGTTGCGCCAGAGTGTTATATATAAGTCCCTGGTTCATGAGTTAAGAATCGCGCGTACCCCCTCCTGTTAGAGAGAAGTATGGCCCCAGAACAAAATTATATATGAATTTAAAAAGGACGGGTTTGACTCAAAATGGAAAAAGGAGAAAGTAACGGTTATTCCTAAATAGAATGAAACCTAGGGAAGAATATAAAGAACAGGAAACGGACAGAATCTAGAGGAAAAATATAAAGGTGGGAAGCCTACCCATAAGCCTTGAGCCCCCCCATAGCCGAATACAGGAAGGAAGTGCCTCTTCAGACGTGAAACTACATTTAGAAGAGGTGCGAAGATTGGAATCTGAGCTGAACATATGTTTTTTTAAGGAATTATTCCCAACTGAAATTCGTATTTCACTAAATTTAATCAAGAATCCAAACTATCATACTTTAAATTGAGAGTTTTCATCAAAGGCAACTAAGCGTACACTACAGTATATGTTGAGAGCCTCCAAGCTGCATATGACCCCGAATGTATTGTTGCATTCCGGCAAAGTAGAATTATTCTGAAGCAAAAGAATATGGAATTAGGCATATCCGCGAAAACTTCGAAAGTTAAGGATCATAGGTGAGTTGACAAGACTTTAATATTCGCGCGCTTTATTAAGAGCAATTCTGAAGACATTCTGTGGTAACCTTTATGAGTTGTATCAAGTCTTATTCCCGAACAATCATGTAAAAAATATTTGAGACTCCCGCCCATAGCATAGCAGCAGCTAGGTTGAAATAGTATGGCCTGCTATACTCTATATATCCGACAACCTGAACCGGCAAACTGAATTAGTTGTGAACTGGACCATGTGGAAGATTTTCCCCAACTCACTTTATCAAAATTAATATACACACCAACCTTCCTCGCTAAAGATCCTTATGATTTCGTAAATGTCTCACAAGAAGAATCCCTCTAAAGTGTAATTAATGTGATAGGAATATTCTTCTCTATCACTAAAGTAATAGTCCTAAGAAATATATCATCTCCTTAAGGAATGACATATCTATGAATTAAGCTAAAAGATGACTCTGGGCATGTTACGAGGGTATAGGATTTTTTTATTTATTTTTTACACGTATTAAAAGAGGGTTCATTTCCTATTTAATCTCAGCTTCCCATCTTGTTCTGTCATTTTAACTTTAAGAGTTCAGCACCACAGTATATTACCTACGGGCAGACTTATTCTTTAGGATTGATTGATAGCAAGAGGGTGATATAACAGAAATCCAAGAACATTTTATCGGCATAGTGAATGATTGGATTTATTCCGATTCTTTGTTTATTCCTTTCTCTCGTTCGCCTAATATTTAGGAACCAAAAATGAGAAGGAGGAACATCTAAAATTATACGTCGTTTTCTAGTCCAGCAAATAAAAATCTCGTGATATATTTCCTATGATTCCCAATGTATTAAATAGGGAAATCATTATAGAAGGTCTAATTAATTATTTATCAAAGGATATGAGGGTATATAACTCATATTATGGAAACCCCGATCTATCCTAAGGACATTAAGCTCATCAAGCTAAGACAAAGGGAAGGTACTATAATCAACAACCCAGAAGAATAATGTGTCTAACGGCACCTAAGTATTATATGATCTGAATGTACATTACTAATTAGTAGAGTTCTAAAGTTAATAAATAATAGAAAAAAAGTGCTTAGTGTTCTATCCTAATCAGGATTAGATTTCACTTAGTCCCTAAAACAAGACAGAAGTTCCCCCCAGAAAAAGATCATGTAATTAAGTTACTGAAGGAGTAATTGTGGAAGAATGGTGAAATCTAAAGAAGATCTAAACAAACTCAATTCCTACAGCAGCCCTTATAAATTATAGAAAATCGTCTAATCCAAATCTTTAGTCCTTAACTCTGTTTATTTCCTCGTAATAGGATCCTGCATATGACAGGTCATATATAGAACTTCAACAAGTAAATCTGATAAGCAGGTACAAATAACCTCTTCCCTAACAAAACTCTTAAGAGAAGCTTCCACAAAAGACCCAAATCCCCAGCGGAATATGTTATTAAGAACCATCTCTTGACAAAAGATTAATACCTCATATAGGACAAGGGACGAAAGGAACAGATTATTTAAAATATAGAAACAACAGCCAAGTGATGAATCTATTAAAACCAGAACGAAATAAGAACGGTCCCCCCCCATTCTAAAGGCAACACCTTAACGTGGTGGTGAATACCAGTACCGGAACAAACTCAAGAGGATATCAATAAGTTATGGCCCCTCCGAACCAGGCGGAATAGTGGAAGACCCCCCTAAGGGGAAGCCCAAAAGACTGAGGATCACAGGTGCTGACCAAATCTCCCGGGTGATCAATAGCAGAACCAGAAAGAGCCAGATTCTCTCCAGTCTATATAGAAAACCCCTGGAAGTGGAAGAAACAGGACGAAAAGAATTCAGTGAAAACAATCCTGGAAGGACCCCTATCTCGTACAAATCAGCCCCCCCCAGGTAGGACTTAAAATAATCCACCAACAAGTCGAGGACTGACCAATTATAAACTAACTAGACGTAAACCCCCCCCCCCCAAACAACTTGAGCACAACACCTCATCTCACGCCCGAGCAAAAACGAAAAGAAAAACTCAGAATAATAAAAACAAGGAATAACTGAATGACCCCTGAGGGAACTCTCCTCTTGGCTAAAGTATCACAGGGGATGTAAGGCAACTATCTAGATGAGAAATATCGTCAGGCTGGTCAAAAGAAAAAGCAAGGAGAACAACAGAGAATCAGCTAGCGAAGGAGGCTCCCAAAAACCAACCAAAGCAAAACTAGGATCGCCAAGCTCTCAACTAAGTGAAGTTGAATATGCGCCCATGCCATCCCAGGTATGAGACGCACAAACCCAAAACATCAGCCCCAAGGCCACTAAGGGAGGTGAAAAATTCCCTAAGACTATACTAAAACAAAGCTCCACTCCCATATACTGAGACCATAGTCCCTCTGACATCAATACAGCTGCAACCAGGATCCTCCCGGAAAATATTGCAGAGAGTGAAACTCTCCTCCTGAAGAAGCCGCAGACGAAACAAGAGCCAGCGTTGACTCCCAACTCAGAGAATATAGAATGACAGGTCAACTCCTGAACTCTCACTGAATCCCCCCTCAGACATCCCCCCAGAAAAAAAGTCTGTAGCCTGAGAAACCCCCCATCACAGTAAGAACGGCCCGGATAAACAATATCACAACTGTCCGTAAGAGATTCAAAATTACCCCACACTAAAACCTCGACAAAAGACAACCTGAGAAAGAAAAAGTTCAAGAAAACCCAACAAACCCAAAGCTACCCCTAGTCCCACCGAAACGACCGAAAGGAGCAATGAGGCATAGGGAATCTCTAACCCAATCACGAAACTCTCACGAACAATAAGTCCTCCAATCAAGTCAACCAAATCACAGGATCCCAGAGGAAAACAGACCGAATGAAAGAATCTGTAATACAAGATAGCCCCAAGAAGAGTGTCGGTTTAACAAAAGAAGAAACCCAACCTCAAAGGATAACTAATCGGATAAGCCTCGAGCAAATTATGACAAAAAGCCGAAATTAAAAATCTAGAACGATGAAGAGTCAGTCACTATACATGACCTTCAACCGCCCAAGATTTGAAAACCCCTCCCTCTCAGATGAAACTCTAGTAGATTCGGCACCGGAGACAAGTGCTAAGAATCTAACAGAAAAATAGGACAATCTCAGAAAGTACTAAGGAGTCTCCAAAGACTGAACCGACTAGTAAGATCAATCATCTCAATACAGGTTAAATCCACATGGTATATGAAACCACCAATCAGTCAATGATGTTATATTATACTCCTCAATATCTAGAAATAGGCAAAGGAGAAAACCTGAATAAAACCCCCACAAAATCCAAGAATCACTAGAAAAATTTTCCCCCACGCAAAGAAGGAGAAATGGATCAACTGGAAAAGGAGAATTAATCACCACAGACAAAATGAAGGTATATCAGTCGATCAAGCGAATTGACATCACGAAATCTTTCAAAAGAACCTATACACCAAGCATTTCGAAAAACAACCCCTAAGAAAAGCCATTCTATGAACATCCTCAAGGCCGGAGCAAGTCTAAGGGAGAAGTTCCAACTATAAAAAAGTGAGGCCATATATCTTGACCCAGTCAGAACCATATACATCGAAAGAAAGTAGCGATAAGAACCCTAACCACTCAATCTAACAGAACCTGATGGACCAACAAAACAAGAGACAACAACAGCGAAATCACTCCACCACACAGCAGCAGCCAGCCATCCAAAAGATTTATCTCAAAAGGACATGGTCACTTTCCTGCAAGAACACTGCAAAGCAACACAACCACCGCGGGCAAATCGAGATTCGTATCTGGAGAATAATGAGCCCAATCGGCCCAGCAACCCCAGGGAGGAGAAACTCACTCACGAGCGAAGGGAGTTTACGGGGATTGGTATGGACAACAGCGAGTCAAAGGACGTAAATGTAGGGAACGACAACACCCCAGGAGATGATAGCTTCTGTGAAATACGTCCAGCGAAAGACTCGAGAGCAGCCTCATCCTTACATACCGAAGGAAACACGAGGCAAGTCAACATCTAGATTCGCCAACCAAAGAGAATTTAGAAGGTCCTGGAGTCTGGACTCGAGCTAAGAACGACTCCAGGCCAAGTTCCCCAAAAGATCAAACAGCCGACCAGCAAGAGAAGTCTATCCGAAAAAGACCCCAGAGATAGAAGTATTATTAACGAGAGAGGGGAGTTAAATGTAAACAGACACAGGATGAAAGGAATTCTCCGCAAAGAGGCACGGAGTAATTCACGGTGCTAAAAAATGAAAAGAAACCACAAATGACGTCATAAATCCAGCCGATGCCGAGATTAGTAGTCAGTGTAGGTAATTGCATAAGGGCCTATAGACTGAAACAAGAAGAATCAAGGAGAACATTAAATGGGAGATAGAAGAATAAGTGACCCAAACTCCTCGCAAAGACGAGTATAGCAACAGAAGAATCGGACCCAATTCCTCAAGGAAAGATAAATGGTCTCGATTCCCCGAAGGGTCAAGTCAAGAGGAAGGTTCAGAAGAAGGATAGAACAGGGTCAGGACGGGAGAACAGGACTAAGTCAGTCGAAACCCAGCTTCTCCCTCCAATCAAAACACCAAATAACCACTGATGAAAGCAGCTTCTGGAGCCTACAATGGCAGAAACGCATGACGAAGGAGGAGAAAATTTGAAACGGGGGAGTGAGATTTAGAACCGAACACTAGGAGCGTTCTCGCAAACACGCCGAACAGCCAACCCTGATTAGCATTAAGTATGGCAAAACACCCCAGGCAAAGGGGCCAGTGAATGAAGAAAGAGTAGGCAAGGGACCCATAGGGGAGACTAATGAAATGACAAATAGCACCCCCCCCCGGACCTCCGACACCGCACCAACAATGTCTCAGGTAAGAATTAGTCAATTGATAAAAGGGAGGCTTTAACGTGAAGACAGGAGAAACAGATCTGAAGAAGAGGCACCCGACAAAAAGGAAGTGTATCTACTTAAAGAAGAATCCAAGAGGGATGACTGAAATGAACAGAAAATCCCCAGAGCCCCTGGGGGACAAGGATAAATCAATCTGTTTAGAAAAAACCGAAGGAGGATGAAGGTATGGGTGACCTAAATAGAAGTAAAGAGCAAGGAGGAATATTCACCTGAGCTTAACCGCTGAGACAGCAATCGAGAAAGCTTCCTCAGGACCAGCTCGCCAAGGCGGAGAGCCCAGTCATAAACTAATAATAGAAGAAGTTGGACCGAGATCGCAAAAAAGGGAGAACAAAGGAAAAATAAGACCCGAAAAACCCCAACCGCGACTCAGAAGCGGAAAGAAGTATCACCAACAGATCTCAAGAAGAGGACAGGTGGAAGTTTGAATCAGAAGTCTCGAGAACTCGGGACGAGGTGACAAGGGAGCCGCTGAAGATCCTTCAGACAGCTCTCCCGGCGCGGGAATAGGAGGGAACCTCTCAGGAAGGATGACAGCTCCCCCCCGAGAGGGGAGAAGAGTCTGGGATGAGGTAAGGTAAATAATGGTAATGGATGAGGGGCAACAGCTGCCTCCTGATCCCCAAAGGGGCCTGGCAAAGAGAGGGCCAAGAGGTATCTAAACAAGAAGAAAAGGTATCAGTAGGAGGAGGAGGTCAGGAAGAATTTTGAGCGATATTACTGGGCAAGAGGGAGAGGAGGTAGAGTTAAGAAAAGAGGAATCTTCCGGAAGGAGAGGATGAGAGCCTTAACCCCCCAGCAGACGATAAAAGGGAATCCCAAGAGAACGACAACGAGAGAAAGAAGAAAAATAAATTGCTGAGTCCAAGGAGCGAAGCCAGGGGACAAAAGGACAACTCGACTCAGAGCAAGAGTAGGAGGATATCAGGAGACGAAGGAATAGCGGAAGTAGAACCTGAGAGCCTCAGTATCAGAAGGGTTAGGAGAGAAGCAGGAGAAGGAACTCTCCCCACCCAAGAGAGCTCAGATATTGGAAAAAAGATTCCCAGTCCATAACGACCAAGCGGGGGAACGGAGCAGTCGGAGCCCCACTGGCCAGGCAGCAATATCTTTAAGGGATTGGACAGTACTCTCAGGAGCAATCACAGGGAAAAAGGAGAAATACATGTAACGGGCTTGAAGGTCGAGACTACGGAGAGTGAACAGGCCAAGGGGGGGGTATATCAAAGACCCAAAATTCCTAAGAGATCCATGATGAACGACCACGTGAATGATTAGGCAAAAGGAGAGTAGGGACGGAAAGTAGGATCTTAGGAACCGCAGGAGCGAAAGGTAAAGAGAGACAGAATCAATCGTAGCTGACGAAGCGGGTGAGGACCCCGAGGCAGGAGGAGAAGGGGAACTCCAGATGGCAAGAAGATAACTGAATAAGGAATGAAGAAGCTCAAACTAAGAAGAGACAAAGAAAATGAATGGGCCAATCGCCCAGTCGTGCAACCTGGGAGGAAATGTGAAAGGGGCGGAGAAGCGTATTGCTTAGGGACCTTCCCAGGGCAGAAAGAAGCAGTAAAGGGATTTTTAGGCCAGTGGGGCCGCCTAATGAATGAAAGCAACACAAGACAAGCCTGGCCTCAGATATCCGAACGGAAGCACCGACTGGTCAGGGACCTAGTGGCTGAGGGACAGGACAAGTATAAATGGAGGGGGATGTTAATGTGTATTTTAATGAAGGCATTAGAAATGAGCCAAATAGTAGTACAGGAGGGGAAGGGGCAGAAGATCCTGTGGGAAACGGACCACTGGAAACAGGCGCTAAGTAAGGGTATAACTGAGCCGTGGGACAGGGACACCGGAGGGCAGAACATGCTAGTGGCCACCACGTGTATCATGAGGGGACTGAGTGGATATGAAGCCACAGACTACACGAGCCTCCGACGAGATCGGGATACATGCAGACACGTCTGGGAGCAGTTGACTATAGAATTGGAAGATCCTGCGAAGGTCGAAGAAGATAGACAAATCACAAAACTGTCAGACATGATATCTAAGTTAAAGAAAGAGCCTGACGATCCGTCAGCCACATATAGGAAAGTCGGTCTTCTGTTGAGTATATATACTGGCATGAAGGAGTGCTTAGAGTATGGGCGTCCCTATGAGTTGCGGGGTTTCATAAAGCCGGGAGGGTGGGACATCTCAAGAATAGGGAGCTGTGAAATGGAAGGGGACACCTTGAATTGTGATGGCGGACAGGGACTCTCATCTCAAGCAAGGATCAATTTATGGAAGAAGGAACTGATGCAGCTCACCGAGGAACCACAGATCCCCCCTAAGCCCACCAGACGCCTCCAGCTGATAACGGGAGATACGTCCCAAGAGGTGGAAAAAATAAAACAGGAAAACCAAAGGAAGGCCAATGAAACTGCGGCTAAAATAAGCCAGACCATGACTCAACGACATGAGGCAGCCCGAGACAACAGCGTTATCTATGGGGACTCCCCACAAACCATGACGGCCCACCCCAAATCCCAGAAGGAGGAAGGAACTGGGACCTCTGGAAAGGACAAGGAAACAGGGACCGCCCAACCCGTCCAAATCCAACATCAGAAAGAAACCGTGCATCTCCCCAACCAGAACCTACATCAAGAATTAGAAACCCGGCTGAATCCTCTCCCGTCAGACGACGGCCAACATTCCAACGACGAAACTGTGTCAAGCCAAACACACGCAGAAGGTGTTAACCTACCCGAACAGTCCGATGCAACCACAAAATCCCAACGGGATCCAAAGGGGGAACAACTCAGAAATTCACCAGAGGACCGCATTCTCCCGCAAGGGACCCCAAAACAGTCAATCCCCCTGAGTCCGATATTGGGAGCAGCAGTAAGTCTCCTCTTGGGTCTATGCGGTATCTATGGTCTATATCGGGTTTATTCCAAACCATCAAAGCTGAGGATACAAGGTGAAGCCGAAGGAGCCGGGACAAAAAGAAGGGTCACCTACGGCCCCCTTAAGGTCGACTGAGGTTGACGAAGGAAGCTGAAGGACCCAAAATCCCTCCTCGTTACGAATGGTCATAAGGGGCGCCAGGAATTCCGCGCGAGCCTACGTTTGATTTCAGTTCTACAGATCCTAAACCAACTGACCCAACTCATAGACTGACGAACAAAGACAACAATCCACCGAGCATAACTCCAGACAAATCCCCCATTACCACCCCAGGGTCAACCTCACTTCGTGGAGGACGTCTCATAGCCAACCCCCATCACGCGGATGAGGGGGGAGTTAGGGTTTCACATCAGCGGAGGAAGGGTAAGGAGTTAGTGGTTAGGCGCTGGATCTACTAGGTCACTCCTCAGTAAGAGTATTGAGCTGAAGAGAGCTAGAAATCGAGACAACGGGAGCGGCAGGCGGTCCACCTTCTGGGAGCTTGGGAGGTCAGATGCAGCAGCAACGGACTTAAGAATTTAAAAGTAGGCGTTGGAAAAATACTGTGTCTCGGTAGGCGCTCCTGGGCGGGTGGGACGGAGGAGCCTTAGGGCCCGGTCTTTGAGGGTCGCCTCTGGAGGATGGGAGGAGCGGGTGCAGGATGTGCATGGTTAAGGTTCGAAATACCGACTTAAGGGATTGGGGATCAGGTTTAGTGTTAAGGGTTTAGGTTTTGGCTCAGGGTTCAGGGTTCAGGATTCAGGATTCAGGTTTAGGGTTTAGGGCTTAGGGTTCATGATTTATGGTTCAGGGTTTAGGCTTAGGGTCCATGTTTCAGGGGTCATGGTTCAGGGTTCAGAGATTAGGGTTTAGGATTAGGGTTCGGGCTTCAAGGGGTCAGGGATTAGTGTTCATGGTTGGGGGTTCAAGCGTTCAGGGGTTAGGGTTTAGGTTTCAGGGTTGACGGTCTAGGCTGAGGTTCTAGGGTTCATGGCTCAGCTGGGTTGCTCTATTTTTAGGGTTGAGGGGTCAGGGACTGGATTTTATTGTTCAGGTCTTAGGTTTAGGAGATACTGTTCAGGGTTAGTTTTCAGGGTTGAGGCTTTACGGTCTTCAGTCCTCGTTGCAGGGGTCATGGTTGGATTTTAGGTTTTAAGGCTTAGGGCTTAGGTTTTTGTTTTATGGTTTATCTTTCCATGGCTTACGCTGTACTCTTGATGATTTAGTGTCCAGGGACTTTTGGACCCGTGTTACGGTTTAGTCTTTCATGATTAGTGGTTTAGTTTGCAGGATTCCTGGTTTTGTTCCGTGCCTTTAGGGCGTATGCTCTAGAGGTTATTGCTTTTTCTCTAGTGTTGAGGGACCTGGGGCTTATTTTTCAGGGTCGAGTTGTTGTTTTTGCGGTCAGGTTCAGAGAAGAGGCTTCGGGGCTTAGGGGTCAGGAGTCCTTTCTTGTTTGTTGTTTTTACCGGGTAGGGTTCAAGGCCATTTGGAGGGTTCAAGGTTTATTTCCCATGGGGGAATGCTTACATTTCATGGCTCAGCCTCTATCGTCGATGTTCATGTTTCAGGTTTTACGGTGTAGTTCTATGCAGGTGTGGCTTATTGTTTACGGATTAGGCTTTTATGATCCACTACTTTGAATTTTCGGAGGTTAGGCGATAATTTTTATCCTTTTTGGTTCCATTTGGCACAATGTTGCCGGATCATGATTTAGGGTGATTTCACTTCGCTTCATGCTTTGCCTTTAGGATTTATTTTTCATTGTCCAGTTGCCTGGAATTGACGTGTATGGCTCACGGTTTATGGTCTACATGTTATAGATTCTGGGGGATCGGCTCCTTGATAACTCTGCCTTGATTGTCTATTTTGGTTACATGCTGGTGCTTATGCCTCATGACTTAGCTTCCTTCATTGGGTTTCTATCTTTCCGGGGATATTTTGCTTTGGGTGGGCCTTATCATGTGGGATTTTGTGATTAGGGTTCATGAGTCTGATCTAGTGGGGTATTTGATTATTGGGGGGGTATGTCGTTTTTGATTACTGTCTCGGGGTCAGGGGGGGTCTACAGGTGTGTCTTGTTTACCTTTGATGCGTAAGTTTTAGTGCTCACTAGTGAGTGTGTTCAGTTTTCTACTCCTGGAGCTAGTTTTGAGATTTTTTCCTTTCCTTTTTTTTTTTCCTGGCACCTATCTTTCCTCTGATTCTTCATCCGCACGGTTGATAGGT